CAATTTTAGTCTCATCTGCCTCAGAATCTTCAAGGTGTGTTTGACTGCATGTGGCCTTTCTTGAGGAGTGGCTTTTTTCTTGCAACCCTCCCGTACAAGCCACATTTGTGGAGAATTTGTGATATTGTTGTCACATGCATACAATAAATTCCTGCAACTGCTTCAGAGTTGCTGTAGGCATCTTGGTCGCCTCTCTGACCAGTTTCCTCCTGGCTCTTTCATCCAGTTTGGAGCAACGTCCTGATCCAGGGAGGGTCTGTGTTGTACCAAATAGCTTCCATTTCTTAATAATAGACTTTATTGTGCTTCTAGGCATTGATAAAGCCTTTGAAATATTCTTTGTATCCATCTCCCAACTTGTGCCTGTCCACAACTCTTTTGACAGTGCCTTGCCACCCATAGTGGATTGTTTGCTTCAGTTGCACTACCAAGGAATGAAATGCTCCAGGAAAGCTCTTTTCATGCTGAGCTAATCAAAATGACCACAGCTGATCACAGTTGAAAGTCAGATGGCTTTGTGTGCCATTGAGAAGGTGATTAGTTACTCCTGATTGCGTTTACAAGTCATTTTAAGGTGATTCTGGTTCTCAGCGATTCTGGGTTTTTACATTTTTTTTCTGACATGTTGGTGTTATATCTTTCATTTGGATGTTATAAGTTGCACCGAGTAAATACTGGATAAAACAAAAACTGTGACCGCCTTCATTTCAGGTTGCAAAGCAAGAAAATATGATTATTTTAAAGGGGGTGCTTCTTTTCTATACCCACTGTACTGAAGTGATGAATATAGACCAGTAAGACATAATATTAGCTCCTCTTACAGGGTTTCTGTGGTGTCTTTTGTGAAAGGTTGCCATGACATGCCATGAGTACAGAGGCTGTAAATGCCAAGCAATATATTTACTGAGAATGGGCCTGCTTAGTATTTAACCCCCGGGATGTTGTAAGGGTCACAACATGAATGTTAATGACAAGATGGTCGTAATTTTTTACTCATGAGGAGTAACATTTTAAAAAACGCAAGCTGACATTTGATTTTACAACAATGTTGAGAACAGTTGTGCTGCTTAATAAAAAAATGTATATAAAAAAAAAGACAATTCATAATTGTCTATTATTTCCTTGAAATTGTTATTGCGATTATTACACATCATATAATCGCAATTCACACTGAATGATTTTTATACCATTGTTTGAAGCAACCACATGCCATATTTTTAGATGAAAATAAACAAGCTGAAAACACTGATAAACTTTTATTGCTTTTCTATAGTATTAAGCCTCAAATGTGAACTATACATTGAATTGGTTTCTTCTTTAAATAAAAAAGTAAAAATATGCATGGTTTTATAATGTTATACTAAAACTAAAAAAAAAACTAAAATGAAAACAAATTTATGCAGAATAACATAAGTGGACTTTTACAATTAATTGCCGCTTTGAAACATTACGTAATTGTGGCATCTGTATGATTAGAAATTTGATGAATTGTGCAGCCCTAATCCTTGCTGAACAAAATTATGAATTAAAAAAAAAAATCTTACTGACCCCACACTTTGGAACTATAATTTATATGTAGAAACGTATTTTATCATTATAATATAATAATTATTTAACTTTAAATAATTAATCTGTCACAATATAAGACAATAAAATTTGTGTTTGAATTTATAAGAATTTATAAGTTAAGATTTGTGTAAAAAGCTAAAGATTAATCATAGATTATTCTTCATATGAAAGAGGTTGAAAACAAAAACTCTATTGCAAAATATGACAAAAGAACTAAATAAAAAGTAAGACTTACACCAGATAAAATTATTATAATATTACATTATAATACAGATAATAATTTTTGATATTTTCCTAAAGTTGGTTTTCCTAAAAATCCACCGGCCCCTGGGATCTATGCCCTTGCTGAGGGCAAAATGTTATCATGGGAAAACAAAATTGCCTCATATTTGCATTCAAATGACTAATAATGTAGTAAACTGTATTACATGAAATCTTACCAGCTCCTTCCTCAGCCAGGCCAGTGCAGTCTCAATGTCCAGCCGGCCTGCATCCTCCTCTCCAGCCATACGCTTCCCTCTGCACACCTCCTGGGATGAGGAATGGTCCTTGCACATCACTGCTGCTTTACAGTGATCAAAAGAAGTTTCTTTACAGGAGAAATCTCTCAGTCTGGTAAGAACTACTTCCATTGTTTCTAGAAGTGCTGATGAGGCGCAGAGAGCTCACTGTTCTTCTTGTCAGCTGTACATACAGATCAGTCACTGTTTTATCTCCTTGTCACACTGTCCACTACTGGCGAGTCCGCTCTGGGACGGACACTTAAAACACCCCCTCCCTTCACCCCCTGCCACGCCATAAACATGCGCACACTCTGATTTTGCATGCGACATAGGTCTGTTTATGTGCAAGGGAGTGACGTAGAGAGACTGACGTCAGCCTCGCCTGTAGTGTTTCTGATTTGCCATGAGCTTTGTAAATGTTTAATGCAGTTGAATAGATGACGTGCGGATCTGGAGTTGCTATGGCTTTGCAGGAAGTACTAGTGAAGACAGCTGGAGGAATATCCTTGGCAGTGCCAGGATGGTAAATAGTAAGTGGACCTCTGTGGACTGAATAGATCACAAATTACATTTGTCAGGTCATAGCTTTGATTTTGATCCCATGCAGATTTTAGTATGAACTAATATTTTTTATTCCCACAGTAGCCACTGTTGATCCTTAAACTACTCATGGGTCTAAAGTCATTGGTTGTGAACCGCCCAGGCAGCCATGTGGAGCCGCATGCTGTCATGTCCTCTCTGCGTTTCCCAAGCAACCTGCACAAATAAGCAATACATCCCAACTCGGGACAAAAATAGTGAAGACACAATTGAGGCTATATTTAAACCCAATAGATCAAACCAACAAAGTCTTTGACGTTACAGACATTCAAAGAGACAGAATGGGACCAAGTTCTCTTCATCCATGAAAAGAGAGTCTGCCTGGCCTTTCGGTTCTCTTTCAGAACCTCTGCCATGCATGAATCACCAGACTTAAATTCTAGTGTCCTACAAAAAGTTTAGCCAATTTGATAAAAATTACCTACATAAAAACATATTGTGCATGTGGTAAATTCCCATGCAAAAGCATTGGGAAGCAATATTCATGTAATGTAACATTAATAAATGCAGTCCTCACAAGATCACACTTATTGGACATAAGAACCAGCCTGGTGGGCTCTTGGAGGCTATACCACCCTCTTGTGGTAAAAAAAAACTAAAAAAAAAAAAATTACATTTACATATAAACTCCCATTTGCCCTCTGATACCTCAAATTCTGACTTTTAAACTTCATTTCATTAATTATTATTAAATAATAATATTAAAACACTATTACTTTGTAATAATAATTTATAATAATAAATATTATTAAATTATTATTAATCATATGTGACCCTGGACCACAAAACATAAGGGTCATTTTTTTAAAATTGAGATTTATACATCACCTGAGGGCTGGATAAATATTGATGCATGTTTTTTTTAGGATAGGATAATATTTTACTGAGATACAACTATTTGAAAATCTGGAATATGAGGGTGCAAAAATTAGGTTGTCCAAATTAAGTTCTCAATGCATATTACTAATCAAAAATTAAGCTTTGATATATTTATGGTAGGAAATTTACAAAATATCTTCATGGAACACGATATTTAACTAATAGCCTAATGATTTTTGGCATAAAAGAAAAATCAATAATTTTGACCCTTTCAATGTATTGTTGTCTATTGCTACAAATATACCCGTGCTACTTATGACTGGTTTTGTGGTCCAGGGTCACATATTTGAACATTTCCAACAATATTAAACACACACACATATATATCTGTACCTATATTCCTCATTGTAACACAAAGCCAACCACAGCTTTCCGTGCTCTCTCTCTGGTCATATATTTTTCATTATAAAAACACAAAGCACATATCTAATCTAATCTCAAATAATTAAACCTTAAATGGTCACAAAAACAAAACAAAACAGGTATTGATAATAAAAGAAACACTTGTTTATTAGACAAAACAAGGCGTTTGCTGGCACAAATGCCTGGTCTGGATAAAGGACAAACCTTACAATAACAAATGCTGAGAAACAAATAAATGCTACTCTTGTAGAAGCGAGGCTTGTCTCTATGCAGTTGTGGGATTGGAGGTGACTGCCGCTTCCTCTGTCCCAGCAGGCCGTCGCTTCCTAGGTCTACTCCGCTTCTTTTTCTCTCCGTCTGTCTTTTTGGGCTGCTGAGGCATGGGTTTCTTCTTTTTCTTCAGGCAGCTAAGTGGGTTGGGATTGCTGGATTTCCTCTTACGTTTTTTGCCTCTCCTGTCATTACTGTCTTTGCTGAGGCCCTCCTTCTCTTTCAGAGTCTGGATGCTTGACTGTTGTGACGGGCTCACCAACTCACCCAGCTGAACCGCTTCAACATGCTTCAGCGAACGCTCAGAGGCCTTGTCTAACACCATGGTGTTGAGGATAATGTAGAGCAGAGGAACCCCAGGGATCTTCTTCAGGGCCGTCGTCAACTCTTGATCCTGGTAAGAAGGATCATTGTGTTATTTATTTGACTAAATTAAATTTTTGTCCAGTTATAGAGTCCTTACCTGAGTTGCAATGAAGTAGTGGTGTGGATTTGTCTGCCCAAGCATTGACAACAAACACTCTGATGCAGGAACTGGATCTTTCATGTGTTTGCATTTCCTGATCTGAAATCTCTGTAAGATGAGTTTTGCTCCATAGAGGTCTTTTGCAAGGCTTTCAAGTTCCTTAAGTGCGCAGCTGCACAGAACAAAACAAAACAAATGTTATTACACAAGAACTAATACACTGACATAAATACTAGAAATAAGAAGAGCATTAACTTACTTTGTGGTACAGAGCTGAACTTCTCCCATGAGATACTTTGGCAATTGCTCTTTGATTTGTATTTTATTCTTTAACGCTGCTTGACAAAACGTCCCATCAATTAATATTTGGAAAGGTTCCCTAAAGCAAAAGTTGTACTTGTAAAAACTGATGGTTTTCTTCGCGTGCTTCTGACGCTTTATCTTCATGGTGAATTATTGATATATAAAGCTCAAGATAGTTTAAACGAATAGATTATCTTGACTGGATAAGAGAAGAATATCAATAAATCCGGACACGTGAGGACTGACACTCTTGATTTATGTAAATATGTCAACAAAACAGTTCAACGAAGCTCACGCCAGTCTCAAACATTAACAAGCATGGTAACGTTACCAGAGTGGTTACAGTAAATGGGTACCGGGTAAAACAGCAAACGGCTGTCGGTTATCTCGTTAATTCTAATAAATAATAATAGAAAATAAATGTATAATAACTACAATTAATATATATGTTTGATTTATTATTATTAGATAAAGACTTTCAGAATTGTATTAGTTAACTCACTCTAGGAACAGTTCACAGTAGTCACTCTTTCTTCTGACCACTTTTACAGCTGCACGTTCTAGTGAAGGGAAGTCTGAATCATTTCGCGAATCGATTCCTTTGAACAGTTCATTTCTTTGCAAGTTACCAAAACCACCGTAATGTGGCGAATAAAGAAATCCGTTGTCACATATTGCTCTTGATTTTTTGTAATCGCTTTAGTTTGTTTTTTGAACCGGTTCAACCCATGCATTGAAAAGATCCGATTCAAATGGATGATTCATTCATCGCTATCAGGTTCACCGGAAGGCACCGGTTTAGCGGTTTTGTATCCCCGGCGCGGGTGAAGATGGCATCCCATAAAGAAACCCCGTCTGGAAAAACCCTGAATTCTCCCGTCAAACAAATCCAGCTAGAATCAATGTAGCCGAGTCCACAGAGAGTGAACTCGGGTGTTTACACGTCTCTGTTGGTTAGTTCACCTGCAGATCACTGTGCAGACTGATGTGATGACAATATGCCAAACTGGAAATAATAATAATAAGAAATAATAATAATAATTATTATTATTATTATTTCTTAAAGCTAGTTACCAAAGCAATTAGTGGAAAATTGAGAAATGCAATGGTTTATTTCTGGATGACATTAGAAATTATAATATTTTAAATACTTAAAACACTTAGCTTTATATGATTACCCATTTAGGGGTTTATTTATAGTTATCCCATTTAATTCCACAGGTCACAATAGAAACGTTTACTTTTGAGTTTAAATTGTCTACTCTACAGACTCAGAGTTGTCAACTTTAAAGTGCAGACTGTTTTGATTTAATGTGAACATATTTATATGGCTGGTGTAAATAGTCACATGACTAGAACTGACAGATGATAACTGTAAAAACTTCATTTAAAAAGTACATTAACTGTTTTAAACAGGCATATTTCTATGCATGTGCTCACTTAGCTGGAAAACATTAACATGGGTTAATGCATGCTAACAACTAAAGTGGCAACAGATATTTTTGTAAAAATAGTCCCAATAAATTTTTGTTTATTTCTACAGAGAGACTGACCATTGTTATCAATGAACATAGACATTGATATTCATCAGCAGCGTATTTCATCAGTCATTGTTTATGTTGTGTGTGTCTAGGTTACACATATGTTGCACCCATCCAATCCCTCTGTGCTCCTGAGGTTATGTTTGCTTTAGTCCCCATTGTAAAGTTGAAAGGATATCATTGTTAGATCTGTTTTACATTAATGAATGGATACATACATCTTTCTCTTAGTCAAAACAGTCCCTATTGTTGCACAATTACTCCCTTGTTACTCAGTATGAAGAGATTTTGAGCTTAATATTTCAATGAGCTTGTCAGTGTGACGACATTCATTTTGACTTCAGCAGAAATTGGAAATGTGCTCATAAAAACATGGGTTAATTTATGATCACAGTCACCCGAGTTTAGCTGAGAGTCCCTGGTTTTTATAATTATGAAGTAGCTAAGTAAACAGCAATGTCTTATTGCAAACCCTCATTTGCCAAGCAGCTGTTTTCTTTTAATGCATAATTAATTTATTCGAATTACTTCCATCAGATTGTAGATCATTGCTTCAGTTTTACAGGCCTGATCAGAAGTCAAATGATTTTTTGCTGCGTTTTTGTAGTTAATCTGTTTGTATGGCCACAGTAAATTCACTGAACCTAATTAAACTCAATGATGCTTATGGAAGCTTCTCGCTCATGTTACTTTCCTATCTCGCTCCCCACTGCTAAGGAATGAGTGTGAAATGTTGTGAATGTACAGAAATGTTAGTTTTTGCTTTGTTTCTTGAAAGCCGTCATGCTCAGTGTTCTACTTTTTTTTTTTGTGTTTAGGCTGCAGTGCAGCCCAAAAAAAGCTGTTTCCTGTCAAGGTGCCTCAAGTAAAGCTGCCATCGTTGATTTCATTGATTTTCTATCCACTTGTCCCACAGCCTGTTTTGAGGCTTTACTAAAGCTCAGCTCCCTGTTTGCTGTTGGTTGGAACTGTTTGAATGGTTTTTATTTATTTTTTGCCCGTGGGCTTTCGAGAACATTCTCTGCGGTGTGTTGATGCTCATACTTAAAGATGCTGATGGTTCATGTGCCTTCTTGCACATTCTGAGCTGGAACGATGCTTTTGAGGAAACATTTTGGGCTTCCTGAAGGTTATTTTTTTTTGTTTGTTTGTTTCTTGGGTTTTGTCTCTCCCACGATTTTACTGACTAAGGTTTTTCTTTCGTCCCTCATGCATGCATCGCTGGGAGTTTTGTTCTTTTTGTTTTTTGCTCAGTATTTGCAGACATCACCATTCATTGTCTTTCCAGCTCTGTGCTGCAGAAAAATGTGTACAGACATGGATGATGGGTTCAGAATAATGTAGCACTTTCCCCTTTTGTATGTTTACCCAGAAGATAAAAACAGTCAAAAGTTTTGTGACTTTTAGATCCTGTTTAAATGCAAGTGTATTCCAAAAAGTTGTCGAAATATACTTTAAGCAAATATACACTACAGTTCAAAAGTCAGTAAGATTAATACTTTTATTCAGAAAGGATGCGTTAAATCGAAAGTGACAAGAAAAACATATATAATATTAAAAATTTCTAATTCAAATAAATTATTTTCCAGTGACCTTTCTATTTATCAGAGAATCCTGATTCTGATAAAAAATATATCATCATTTCCACACAAACATTAAATGGCACAACTGTTTTTAAGATAGAATTTTTTTTTTTCTTGAGCACCAAATCAGCACATTAGAATGATTTCTGAAGGATCACGTGACACTGAAGACTGGAGTAATGGCTGCTGAAAATTCAGTTTTGCCAAAACAGGAATATATTACAAATCTAAAATACATTAAAATAGGAAAGTGTGTTTTTTTTTTATTAAATAAATCTAGCAATCTTTATGAACTTCTTTCAAAAAATTAATGCCGACTCCAAATGTCTGACTAGTAGTTTTTGTCTATTTTCTGTAACAAACTGCTATTTTAAAACATATTAACTTGCTATAGTATAAAATAAATAGTATGTTTGATGTTTAAAATGGTTATACAAAATTTTATTTAAATGTTTTTAGGCTGAAAAACTTTTGAAACATGATTGATTTTTGCTGTCACTTTCTCATACCCTTGTAATCAACCCCATCCCCATGAAACAAACAATTAGGAGGCTTTGTGCACATTCATGTAAACTTTAATAGATGCCGTAATCAATCTTGGGTTGTCATTTGATGACAAATTGTGGTTATGATGGGTACTAATGACAATATCAATTGACAGTGGCTGTCTGTCTTTGGAGCCCCTAGAGCGCTCTAATGTCGGTCCATCTTCGTTGTTTTTAATAATCAGAATCTGATTTTTTTCTTTTTCTTTTGGGCTCTTAGTGAAATCACCAGATCCCGTTATATTTTATTCCACAAGGCAAAAGCATTTGCAGGTCACTGGAAACGCATCTGATGTGGGTGTTATTGATATGCTTGTTTTCTTGTTAATCCTCCCCTGTGAGCAAAACAGCGAGTTAAGAAGGGATAGAGGAAGACCCTGATATTACCAACTGCTGTATTTTCCCTTTCGGTTCAGCCACCTGAGCATCAGGCATTGTTGCTGTGCTCCATTTTGTAGACCTGCTGTTCACAGAGTTTTTAGATGAATAAAAATAAGCTAAATGTATAAAGCAGGTGGATTAGAGGCAACTGCTTCAGGGTGGGTAAGCAGCTTAAACGGAGAGCTCTACAAATCCCTTCCAGGGATATGTATCTTCTCAGCTCTTTCTCTTTCTCTCTCTCTTTCTCCCTCCGTTATTTTTGACCTTTCAGGCAAAAGCTAAGCACTTTTTAAGCAGTGTGAAATAAGGTCTGCTTATGCATGAGAATCATAGCAGGGCAATGTTTAAATCATTTCTGATTTCTGATTCCCCTAGGAATTTTTTCTCTTTTTTCATGCTAAAAATGTTAGTGCATATATAAATCTCCCTAGACGCTTTGCTGGAGCATTGCCCGTGATCCAGGTGTGAGGAAGATGGTCAACAGGGGGCAGCAGTGATGCACTAAAATCACTGAACTGTGTCACTCTTCACTTCATGCGCTTCAGCACTACCTTACATCTTTTCAAACGGTGACGTCGGGTTGTCAAGTTTCTTTTGAACACACTGAAGGGTGAGAGCAATAACTAAGCATCAATGGGTGCCACTGCCTAATAAGCAGACAGGGCTTTTGGAATATTCTACTGTATATTTATAAACTAAACTAAACTAAACTGTGTTTATATATTTTTATATATAAAGTCAATATGCTAGTAATATGCATGCTAATAAGCAACTAGTTAATAGTGAGAATTGGGTTAAAATAATTCAAAACAAGTTGCTTATTGGCATGCATATTACTAGCATATTGAAGGTTTATTAGTACTTCTAAGTTCTAATGCACATAGTAATGCCTTCTGTATGACCACATTTTAGAACCCTTAAACCTACCCCATACTTAAACTTAAAGGGTTAGTTCACCCAAAAATGAAAATTCTGTCATTAATTACTCACCCTCATGCCGTTTCAAACCTGTAAGACCTTCGTTCATCTTCGGAACACAAATTAAGATATTTTTGATGGAATCTGAGAGCTGTCTGACCCGGCATGGACAGCAATACAACTGAAATGTTCCCAAGTCCAGAAACGTAGCAAGGAGATCTGTAAAATAATCCATGTGACATCAGTGGTTCAACCGTAATTATACAAAGCTACGAGAATACTTTTTGTGCGCAAAAGAAAAAAAATAACGACTTTATTCAACAATTCGTCTCCTCCGCGTCACCCTGTAGCACCATTTTGGAGAGTATCAGCTGGAC